AGTTATTTGCTCAAAGTGACTACTATAATTTGGATCTTGAATATTCTCCAAAGTCCCATGTGTTGAAGGTTCAATCACCAACCCATGGTGTTACTGGGAGGTGGTGAAATTTTTAAGAAGTGGGGGCCTAGTGGAAGGAAGGGAACACTAGGACTCCAGCATTACCCTTCCCTGTCACTTCTCAGCTGCCATGAGGTGAATAGGCCTCCTCTACCATGATCAATGTGACACCACAGACCCAAAGCAACATAGTTAAGCAACCATGGACTGTGAAACCTCTAAAACTATGAACCAAAATAAATCTTTTTCCTTATTAAGTTTATTATCTCAGGTATTTTGTCATAGTCACAGAAAGCTAACAGTTACCCAGCTAGTAAGTGGCAGAGCAGGACTTGAACCAATCTACCTCCAGAGATAATACTCTGAACCACTGTACTGCCCCTTTCAGCTTGGTATACCTCCAATGACAGAGCCGAATCCAGGCACATATTACAAGAAGAAGAAGAAAATCCAAAATTCATGTGCATGTGAAATGCATCATAAGATGCTTTTGCAGCCATTTTTTTTCCTAATAATGATTTGGTGAAATTAATATCAATTGGGTCTACATTTTCTCCACCCACACCAGTCAGTGAGTAGAAGTTCAGCCCCAATCAGAGACTGGATTCTGCCCTGGGTGGTGGCTGCTTGCCAGCTGGGTGAATGTGACCTTCCTTAGCAAGGCCAGAGGCTGGGGATTGAAAGGGAAATCCACTCAATCAGTAGGACTGGCGATGGCCTGGGGAAGGCTTCCAGCTGTGATAGACCATCCCTTCTGACTGACCCGCCCTGCTTGGCTTGAGGAGTTCTGAGGAGCTGGACAGGAGGAGGTTTGGTTTGCCACTTCAAGGAAAGTCAGGAAAACCTCTTCCCAGCCATTCCTGACTTCCCAACTCTTTGGTTCCCAGTCACCAGAGGAAACTGATCTTATAAAAGGAAGTCTTATGGTTTTCCCACCCCCCTTCTCTACTACACCCCCAAGCCCCAATTACCAATGCTTTCCAGCAAATGAGAGGGTGGGCCAATGCAGGTGTGTGTGTGTGTGTGTGTGTGTGTGTGTGTGTGTGTGTGTGTGTGTGTGACAGAGATAGAGAGAGAGAGGCATCAAGCTCTCACACTCCAGAGTGTAGGGAAGAAATATCCCTCCGAGGCCCCAGGGAGCTGGCCGGGAGTTGCCCCTGGACCACCTGTTGAGGGAAATGGCAGATATGGGCTTTGTTTCTGAACTGGGTGTGGAAGACGTTGGAAGAAGGTGATGTTGAAATGGTGGGAGGAAGAGGCCGACAAAGGGAACAGAGACTTAAAAACTGGATCTGAAACCATCTTCAAGGTCCATCTTGGAGGACTGATGGGCTGTGGGGTGAGGGATGGGAATGGGGGTGGATGGGTCCAGGTGGAAAGCTGCCTCTCAAAGGGACTCTGTTCACCCTCTAGACACGTGCCCCACCCCTTCATTTCAGCTGTGTGACTCTCCAAAGGGCTGTGTCCCTGAGGGACCCTTAGCAATGAGGGAACTGACTGGTTTCTGCTGCCAGTGGCCTGTCACCAGTAACTCTCCACAGGACAGAGAAGCCAACCAAAAACCCTAGCAATACAGCCGGAGGAGGACAAGGGTGACCATGAAATACGGATCCCAACAGATTCCAGCAGATTCAGTGGAGTCTGGCATGGGGCCATGGTTGGGAGAGGGTGGAGATCAGGGAGAAGTTGACTGGCAGGTTTCCTTCTGTCTGCACATGCACAAAGAAATCCAAGGGGTGCACAGCCTGGAGGTTGACAGGGTCCCTTTAAGTCTCGGCCCCTTCCCCTGGTGTGCGCCGGCAGATTAACTACGTGTGTGTCTGGTTTTCAACATGCAGCTTTTGCTGTGATCTCTGCCTTTCTTCCCTCCCCTCTCTCCTCTCTCAGAGATGTTGCAGATCACGGCCAACTCACCCATTTTGTTTCAGGTCTCTTTGGTGAATGAAAAGTCTCCGACTCATCCTCCTTCCTTGAGCACTGAGATTTCTACCCTCCTCTCTCTCCTCCAGTCCCTGCACCTCAATAACTTTTGGTTACCACGTTTTCTAGGTTGGTGCTGAGCATCCCTGGATCTGCTCTTGTTCCTGTCCTTCTCCCTTCTCTTTCCTGACCTCTCTCTCCTCTCTCTTCTGAAACCTCTCTATTCACAAAGACGGTATTCACATCTAGAGATAGCCCCCAGAGTTTTCCAAAGTCTAACTTTAAAACACACAAGGGGTCTTTATTCTCAAATTCCCTCCCTGACAAATTCAGTGTTCCCCTTTTGCCCTGTGAATGACAGTTGAGAACTGGGAGGGACTTGGTGGCTTCCAGCTCCTAGCATATGACTTCTCCAGGAGAGAGAAGTCCTTGCTGCCTCAAAGGCCCCCAGGATATTCAGAAAATACTCTGGAAAGCCAACAAGAAAGCTCCGGCTTCAAGCCAACCTTCTCTTGACCCAGCCCTGGCCACCCTCTGCTTCCTGGGTCTAGCTGTCCAAAGTCTCGGAGGTGGCGTTTATTTTCTTTTGGCAGAAAAGCCTGGGAACCAAGAGGCCGCTTTCCCTATGACCTGACCTCCCACTCGAAGAATTACAGCCCTAGGACAGCATGCCTTGCTGTCCCTCTGGATAGAGGGCATGGTGGGAGGTGGAGAAGTTAAGGGAACTGGATAGAGTCAGGAGGAAACGGAAGAACACAGAGGCTTGGCTCTTGTGTGAGAAAAACTAAAACGGGAGAGTTGACAGCCTTCAAGAGAGCTGGGGCAAGATGTGGGAACCTTTCAGAGGACACTTCCTGCTTTCATACCCTCTCTCCAGCTGAACTCCAGATTGCTATCTCCTGGAAGCCAGAGAACAGGGAAATGCTGGGCCTGCTGAGAAAAAAAAATGGGGCCAGCCATGCCTTTTCCTTTTGCAGGACATTTCCCAAAACACCAAAGGAGCAAATGTCCCTTCTTAAAGAAGACAAATCTCTTTAGTAATAAATAGGTCCTTTACACTCCACCCATGGGGCACAGGACTATCCCATTACCAGAGTTTCCTGAACCATGGCTGTATGCCCCATGAAGTCACAGATCATGCATTGCTCTCTAGGTCCCCAGAGAGGTAAAGGGTACAGACCCAAGAACCTCATCCACTCTTTTTAAAGTGCTTACCCATCCGTATGAGCCTCTAGGGCATCTGGAACAACCTATTGGTTGACCAGTTGTCCAAGTAGTCTTTCGTGAACATTTCGTTGTTTTCCTTTCCCTAATATGGTAAGAAAGACCCAAACAAAAATCCTGTCAACAGGGCGAAGCGATAAAGCTGGGACATTTCCCCTCCGTGGCTTTACTGCCTTGGTTCCCTTTCTAAGAAGCCAGTGTCCCCATATCTGCTACCCAGCCCACCCCGTCAAACCTGTTCCGAGGGTTTGGTAACGTCACTCACTGTGGGTGGCACTGGCATTTTGGTGGGACTTACATCAGAGCATGGTAATGTTGGGAAAGGAACCCGGGGAGGTCCTTAGGAGGCACCCCTGACAGTGCCGTCTAGAGCCCTGTGAGACATTACTGGACTGTAGACTGACCTCAGTGCTGTCTTCTTTCAATTAATTAAGCCTTTGCCAAGGCAGAACTGCCCCTGGAGACCGTGGGCAGGCCCGACGTAGGAGCAAGGGTTAGCCCACTTGATGCCATAGAGGCCAGCTGACTATAGATGCTATAGATCCTGTTTCCATGATTTGTTCTTGAGCTTTACATGAGTCACCCCTCTGGCCACGCTGATCGCTAAGGTTTGGGGGCCTTTTTCATGGCCATTATCACCTAAGATAAAGATAGGGCCTTTCCCCTGTAAAGAGGCAACACCTGTGTCCCCTCCTTCCCACAGGTCCTTCTAATAGAAAGAGCCAGAGGTGTAGGAGAGGCTGAAACAGGGACTAAAAAGAGTGTGGCCATGTCACTCCACCCCTGTGGCTTGCAGGGCCCTGCTGCCCACACCCACACCCACTCCTGCCCCTGCTGGGATGTGGAATGGGCCTCTGTGAAAAGGGCGGAGAGCTGGGATAACTGTTAGGATGAGAACTGTGTGACCAAGGGAAGGCGGGGCAGGAAGGCTGGACCCCATGTCTCCTTTCTGCTCCTCCCCTTCTGGGCTCCAGCCCTCCTGGCCAGACTGAGGGTATTCAGAACCTGCAGCAGCGACACTGAGGTGCCTGGACAATGATTCTGATGGTGATGTTGCTCTGTTCTTGTCTGTCTAATACTCCTTTTTAATCCCCATCCTGCCTGCCCCTCCCTCATGTAGGGTTACTTTAGTGATCCCTGGAATGTTTTTGACTTCCTCATCGTGATTGGGAGCATAATTGATGTCATTCTCAGTGAAACTAATGTGAGTATTACTCTGCCCTCCCCAGGAAACCTCTTCCTTCCACCTCTTCTGTTCCTCTCTCTCTCTCTCTTTCTCTCTCTCTACCTCCTTTTATGTTTTTTTTTTTTTAATTTCCTGTTTTACCCGCCTCCAGTCATGCTTTTTATTGAACCTGCCGTCGTCCTGTGGGGGAAAAAAAGTGGGAGTTTGTCCTCCTTTTTTTCCACTTATCCCAGCTCTGCCTGGCGGTGCTGGGCCCAAGAGCTCCAGCGGAGGGAGCAGGGGGTGTGGCCCAAGGCACCTCCCAGCTCCCCTCCCAGGTGGCCCCAGCCTGCGTCACCTTGGAACTAACCCTGCTTTGTCAGGCCTCTCCACCCTCGAAAACCAGGTTGCCCAGGTTGGATCGGCCAGAACTATAGAGTGGTAAGAGAGTATTTAATATGCCCACGTAACCTCTTTCTTTTCTCATTTTTTTTCTCTTCTCTCCTTTCTTTCATACCTTTTTTTTTTCATTTTCCCTCTTCCCTTTTTGTTTTGTTTTCCTCCTTTGTTGTTGGTTTGTTTTTTTCCCCCCTCCTCTCTCTCTTTTCCTCGGCTTCTCTGCCCCATGCAGCACTATTTCTGTGATGCATGGAATACATTTGACGCCTTGATTGTTGTGGGTAGCATTGTTGATATAGCAATCACCGAGGTAAACGTAAGTACATGGCGTCTGTGACCTAACTGTCTGTGCCTGCTCTAACACTCATTTGTCTCTCCCTGGTTTGTTTTTGTCCATCATTTTTATTTTCTCCTCCCCACCTCCTTATTTTTATTTCATTTTTATTGATTTGAATTGGTTTAAAGAATTTTTTTCTTGTTGCTTTGTTTTGAGATTTTTTTTTCATTCTTTTTTGTTTGTTTTAACTTTTGGAACGCATTAGGACTTCCCTTTTCCTTTTAAGTGTTGATTGCTGCATCTTTTTCTCTCTTCCTTTCCAATCAGCCTGGCATGACTCACACTGTATAGAAGAATGCAGCTCTGTTGAATTATGGAGTGAGAAAATGAAGGGTTGTTTATGACTTCTGGGTAGCTTCTCAGGCCAGGACCCAAACCTCTTCTAACCCCCATCTTCACCTCCAGACCACTACCTTCCCCCTCTGCCTTTCCATCCACATAGCATCTTGGAAAGGAGCTCTAACAAAGTGGAGCACGCTGAGTTGAGGCTATGACTCTGCCTGCATTGTCAGCCATAGCCTGCCTTCTCCCAAGACCACCTGCTTATCTTCATGTTGAATGGAATCTATTTCAGTTTAACATGAACAGCTCATGAAGCCGGTCCCTTCTAGGCTCATTTGGGAGAAGAAAACCAATCACATTCCAAAGCTTGCTATTACCAACTTCTCTGGAAAAACTAAGGAGCCATGTGGTTGGGTGATCCACTGACAGCCCTTCTGGGTAGACTTTTTTTCTGGGTTGCAGTGGACACAGGCTCCATGTGGGCACCTCACTCCAACATGAACCTACACAGAGAACTGAATGGTGCACCTGCCTGGTTTTTCCTCCTCCAAACCATCCTCTTCTTATAACCTTCCCTGGCTCCTTGGCCTCAGACTGAACCCCAGCCTCTGCACTCTAAGGCCTCCTGCCTCCTTCTCCTCCCAAGAGTTGCCTCCTCCTATACAGTTCCTTCCAGTTCCTGCACATGTCTTTTTGTTACTTGGCATGTTTAAATCTTCTCTCTTTATCTATAGGCAAGCCCTCTTGCAGTCAGTCTTTAACATGTGTTGTTTAATTTTTTTGTCATTATTTTTCCTTAATTAAGAGACTTGATAATGTTTGCATAAAACTTTGATGCATTGAACCATTGAATAATAGCACAGAGCAGACACTTTAGAGTTTTAATGTAAGATGTTTGAAACTCTATCCCCCCAGTCCCCTATCCCCTGTGCATCCTTACCCTCTCCCAAACAGTTGAATTGATGTGTCATTTTATTGGTTTGATTCTCCCAGATTAGAAGTCTCTGTCTGCTCCCTTCCAGCCAGACTTGGAAGGAGGCTGTTACCCTTCCACACATCCTCTCCCATAGCCCCTGCCCTGCTCACCCTATTGCTCCAGATTTGAATGCCCCTTTATCTCCAAGAACTATAGACTGTCTTTATCATGCGTGTGTGCATGTATGTGTGCACGCGTGCACGTGTTTGTGTACACTTTACCTTGACTTCTTCCGGTAACTCTTCAGATCATTAAAAAAAAAAAAAAAAAAAAAAAAAAAAACAGGCTTCCTGCAAATGCTGCTAGCCTCCTCCCTTCCTGAGTGGACTCCCAGTTTTGCAGGCTTGATGAGCCCTGAGGTGTTTCCCTGGTGCTATTCCAGACCATAAGCTTAAAGGCCAAAGCTTGTGCCATGCAGTACTTGGCACTGGGGGCACCACGGGAATGGTAACAGGAAAGAGAGTCTATGCATAGGGGCTCAGAGCCCCATGACAGGAAATTACAAGGAGGACAGCAAGCTGCTTCCCACAGTGGCAAAGAGGACCCATTGCAGTCCCAGGGGCTCCTTTGTGGAGTAAAATACTGATAAAATATATAGCATCAACCTGCCATGCTATCTCAAAATATTCATGCTTTCCAAAGAAAAACAAAAGGTAAATGTGTGTGTGTGCGTGTGTGTGTGTGTGTGTGTGTGTATGTACACATATATATGTCCTAGGATATCAAATTTCTGTAGGAAAAGTGGCTCTACTGGGGGAGTAGGGAGGTAGGGGAAGGAAAAGTGAGGAGCCTGAAACCATCAAGCAGATCCTTCCATTTGTTCAGTGGTTTTCCATTTACAATTCACTTTTGCCTTTATCTCATTGAATTCTTAACTACCCTGTGAACGTGTCAGGCAGAAAAAAAAACTCATCCCTAAGTTGCTGATGCTAAAGGTCACGATGGAGAAATTTAGTCTCTTTACTGTCCCAGAGCTGAAATCTAGGCCTCTTGTGTGTGACCAGTTCACCTTGGCCTAGGCCAGTCCCTCTATCTCTTAACTCATGGTATCTTTTTATAAACGTACAAATCTCACACATCCCCCCCTGGAGTCCTCACACCTGCCAGAACTTATTCAAATTTTACTTTCTATAATTTATATTTGAAATAACTTCTTAGCTGCCTTGTGCACCTCTCTCTGCCCCCAGCCTCCCTCCATCCCACGCTGTCCTGCTCTGCTCTCTCCTCTGTGGAGGACCTTGGGTGTTTATAAAGTCACACTGAAGGAGCGTCTATGAGGAAATGGCAGCAGTGTCTGTGACAGGGAGCCAGAGAGGGTGTCCAAAACACAACACTTATTTCTGGGCTACTTTCTCCCTTCTCCCACACAAATAATGTCTTTGAACAGAAAGAACAAATATAACATCACCCAAGGGTGGTGGGGAAAAGTAAGGGCTGGGCTTGAAGTCAGAAAACTGGCAGTTTTTCGAGTCTTGCTTCTTTGGTTACCAAAATGCCCTAAGACTTAACTTCCTCATCTGTCAAAAGAATATGACATTTACAGCAGTGGCTTTTGAAGCTCACATAAGAGCATCTATTTAAAAGCTCTATGTAAAAGTGCTGTGAAAGGTTAGACAAATGTGGCACTCAAGCCAATGACATTCTCTCTAAAACCCCTGCTGGGATAACTTGGAGGACCTGATCTCTATCCAAGACCATCTCCCTAGTCTAACTGTAACTTATAGCCCACAGACATTGTCAGCACACTGGTTCCCCAGATGTGATGAGACTCACGGCAACAACCAATAGGAACAACCCGATGACAGCAAGCACAGGCTTCAATAGGCCTATGTCAGAAGCACAGTTCTGTGTGACCCTGCCCTCAGATGACAGCCAGCATGGACGGCAAGTGATGTGAACAATAGTTCTTGGTCTTGGAGGTAGCTCCCTCCACCCACTTCCTTCTGCTCCAGATTGTTAGCGGACAGCTCTAGGATCTTCTTCCCAGTCCCACAGGATTCTTTAGAAATTCCTGCATCCCTGGGTTCTGCTCCAGGCCTTCCCAGATTTTTTTAGACATACCGTCATCACAAGACATGGATGATCAGGCTTGTGTTCTATTTGCAGGTAATCCACACTTGAATTTCAGGGGAATCCATGAGAGTTTTTCATCTGTGACCCATCATCTCTCATTCCTTTAAGCCTCAGGAATCGATTCTCATTTCCCTCACCAGATGCCTCATTTATCCCAATATCTCTCCAAATATTTCCTACACTGGAACCCATCTCTTTTTTCTTCCTTGCCTTTGCCAGGCTATGGTGCCCCCTCCCACCCCAGAAAACGGATTTCCCACCAATTCTGAGAAGCATCAATCAGTCATTCATTCCACAGCAATTATAGTCCCACTTTCCACATGTCATGCACTGTATTAAGCACCTGGGATACATGGGTGGCCAAAACGAAAAGCCCTCGGGCTTTCTAGAGAGGACTAAATAGACAAGGAACAGTAAGTACAGAAAATGAGGAAGTCAACAGTATATTTGAAGATGTTGGAGTGCTTTGCAGGGGAAGCACAGCACCAGGTAAGGGGGCCAGGGTGTTAGGGAGCAGTGGAGGCAAGTGATGCTTTAAATAAGATGGGCTTTCCTAAGGAGGTGGCATCTGAACAAAGCAAAGACGGGAAGGATGGGAGGAGTTATCCATAGCTGGGAGAAGCGCTTCCATGCAGGAGTAAGCCAGTGTGGAGGAGGGGAGGAGTAGGGTCCACAGAGGTGAGAGGGGCCAGGTCTGGGCTGTTACTCAGAGCAAGAAGGGCACATCCTGGTGGCTGTGTGCAGAGGTATCATATGATCTGACTCTGTTATTTAAAGGACTGTCCAGCTATCTGTAAGAGTCAAGGTGGAAGTCAGAAGAGCATTTAGAAGGCAGATACAGTCAGTAATCCAGGTGGGGGATTGGGACCATGAGGCAGCAATGAAGCACTATGAAACATGGTCAGACTCTGGATCTGTTTTGGAAGTAGAACTAACAGTGTTTCCTGACACACTGGATGTGGGTGTAGGAGGACAAGCACTCAGGATGACTGTGTGGTTCTGGCAGAGCAGCAGAAGGATGGAGTTGGTTTGAGCTGGGGAGGACTGGAGGTGGAGCACATTTGGATCAGGCAGAGCAGAGCTCAGCTTGGGCGGGTCTGTCAGAGTGAGACATCAGGAACACAGCTGGACACACCAATCTGAGGTCCCAGCATAGGATCATTCACAAATAGATGGCATCATGCCATGGCACTGGAGGAGGGTGCCAAGGGATGGAGGAAAGACAGAGAGAGGCACAAGGAGAGCTGAACCAGGGGCCTCCAGCCTGGAGAGGTACGGACCCTCTGAGGATGATGTGCTCAGAGCCACTTCATGATCAAATTTCTATTCATTCTGAAAATCCCGAGTTAGGTCCTCTAAACGATGGCTGGATGTCACCAGAGCACCCCCCCCTAAGCGGCCCCCTCATCTAGTTAGACCAAATTGTACTTTAGTGTCTAAGACCCGGGCCACTGCCCTTCTCTCTGATGCATTGCCTTATTCTAAACCTGAGCTGCGTTTCCTCTCTGAACCCTGAGGTCTGGGGCAATTTCACACCACTCCAGTGAAGCCTCTGCTCTTCTTGATTTCTTGGGTCTGAAATCATATATCCCAGAAGGAAAACCCATAGCTATTTCTCATGGACTTGGAGCATCAAAAACTGCTCCCA